TTTACATGATCGCAATGATAACTGTTCAAATGTATTTTACCAAATCACGCAATAAACACGTTTTTTCTTGAGTAGCGTGAACTGATCGTGAACTCCGATTTGACCATGTTATATCGAGGTGGAATTGATTTTGAAATAATTTTAGCTTTCAATCTAAAGACTGTGTCTATCGCAGAAAGTATTTACTTACAAACAAAGAGGTGCTAATTCCACAAATTTGACTAGCCGCTACGTATCGTGCGACTAAGTCTATTGTTTATAAATTATAATCCACGACTGGCAGGATGCGTGTCGGTCGGTACGTAATTATACCAACAATCAGACAATACCGGTAGTCCTCGTCGGAAGCATTTCCGTGGTGGTCACTAATTTTGAGTGACGGTCGGGGCCGACCGGCGTGGTGAACAAAGCTTTTTCACATCTGATATTGGCATGTCAAATATGAAATCAAGCGCCGAGGTGGGAACACATAGCGCCGAGGTCCCAAGTGAAGCGCCGAGATTCACAGGTATAGCGCCGCAGACCTCGGCGCTAAAAAGCCCTGGGGAGAACCCTGGTTGACTTGTCATTTCGCTCTGCTCAGGTGTTACCAGTAGTATAATAGAGCAAATTCAACGAAGCAGTTTGTAGCTACATACTTACCAATAAATACTTGCAAACTTACCAATAAAAACTACAACTGATGTTGATTTCTAGATGATGGGTGTACTCATTGATAAGATGCTGAGGACTCAAATTGTGGACTGTGCCTCTGTAGCAAATTTTCTTTTTTCCAAGGATATGGAAAATGATTTTACCAGGTTAGTATATGAATAGCATATGTAGTTATTCACAATTGTTCTCCAATATTCTATTTAAAAACTTGGACACAATCAATTTGGTCAAACGTATTTATTTTTTGACTTCCTTATTTTTAGTCCCCGTTCGGACGCAGTCCGAAAACGGGGACTTATGTTTTGCCCTGTGTGCGTCCGTGCGTCCGTGATCACCTGTATCTCGAACATGCATGGACCGATTGAGTTCAAACTTCACTCATACATCACACATTATATGGGACATATGCACATGCATTTTTTTCATGATCCGATTAACGATAGCCGAATAGCGGCCATTTTAAGGCCGAAAATGCATCAAAATCGCACATTTTCACCATTCCGGACCCGGATCTCAGTTATGCATGGACGGATATTGTTCAAATTTGGTACATACATTAAACATAATAGGACCTTGATGCACGTCATTTTTTTTTT